GATCTCCATTTGTTTATAACTCATCCTAGCGAAAAAAAAAATTTTTTTAAAGTACAAAAAACTATATAGATTGAGAAAAGATATCCGATAAAAAATGTTTCATGCATGAATAAATATGTATAAATATGTATAAATATTCATAAATATGTATAATCATATACGAAATATAATATATCCATACATGTTCATATATCTCTTTTTCTTTTGTAAAATTATTTTTAGTGTAATAAAAATAATAACAGTAATATGAAAACATTAAAAATAATTAAAGGGATAATTTTCGCATTGTTTATGTAAAAAAAACAAGTTTGGAAAAATGTAAAAAAAATTGCTCATACACAATTATGCATAATTTTTTATATATTATACATGTATATAAAATTGTGATCTAACAGTGTCAAGTGTTTACTTCTTTAATTTTTTGTGGTAACATTTGAATGAACAAGGTAATACAATTATGGATTGTATATTATTTAATTGGGATTTAACTTGGCATTAATTATTGATATCAAATGATTCATATTATTAAAGTTAAATAAATGACAAAGATAGTACCACCTAGTTTTATTTTTTAATTTGATAGAATTTAACTTGATTAGTTAAGACTGTATCATCTGGGTTTTAATTTTTCATTTGGTAAATGTTTTTTTTCGAGGAATAATTTTTGACAGAGTTAAAGCTGCTATTATTTCCCTTATGAAGGAAACTCAAAATCTAGTGTTTACACTCAATTAAAAGTTATTTCAGACGCTAAACTTGAGCGTTATTTTCAACTTGAGAGTTAACTTGAATGTTCTTTATCTTAGAATTGCCGTGTTATCTGCCCTGAAGCCTCTTTTCATTGAGGCTGAGAGAGTTCTTCAGTTCCGGTAAAATGTAATATTAAAAGATTTTTTGGATCACCGATGTCGAATCGGAACTAAAAAATTTGAAAATAAAAAATGGCTAAACCAATATTTGATCAAATATGACGGATGAATTTGTTAAAAGTTCTTTGATTTTTGTGAAATGTAATATTAAAGAATTTTCAGAGTTGCTGATTTCAAATTTGGAGCTGAGTCAAAATTAAAAAATTCAAAATAAAATGTGTGTGTGTTGGCTTCTTGTATATTCCAGAGTATTGTCAGCTTTTTTTGTGATAAGACCATCCAGACAGCTCTGTCCATTCTCTTCTATGTCCATGATAAACTGGATACTGGGATATTGATTGTTGAGGAATTAGTTTAAAAATTTATAAAGTTCTTCACTATCGCTCTGGTGAAAATTTTTCTCATAACTTTTATACGATTTGGAACATTTTTTAGAAATACTTAGAAATATTCGAAAAATTTACATCTTCTCTTAGAATTTTTCATACATGTGAATTCTGAAATATTCTGAGATTTATCATCTCATAATTTTTAAAAAATATTTTCAAAGTTTTTAAATTTTATAACATTTCTTCAGAAATTATACTTATGTTAATATACAAAAAAAATCTTAGAAATCTTAGGATACATGAAAAATTCTGAGAAAAGATGTAGACTTTCTGAGTATTTCTGAAAAGTGTTCTAATTCGTATAAAATGTGAGAAAATTATAAAATTAATACAGAAATTTTAAAAAATTCTGAGAAAAATGTTAACTAGAGCGTGTCTCCAGATTACGAATGTATCATCTATTATGTAACGGACCAAACTTCTGGTTTGCGCCATTAGATTTGTATCACTGGGTACGTATCTTGCGAAGAACCTGCTCTTCCTCAAAGTACTCCATAAAGATGTTTGCGATTACAGGAGAGATGGGAGAACCCACAGCTGTCCCGGAAGTCTGTTCGTAAAATTGGCCGTTGTAGAAGAAGTATGTGTATAGTTGTTAGGCAATGCTCATTTAAAGGGATGATGTTGTTAAGGATTTCATTATATTCAGAGTTTCTTTGATTGAACACTTTTATGAAAAGTGACGTTACATCAAAATTCACCAACATGTCTTCAGGATGAAGACGAATTTTTTGGATTTTTCGTACAAAATCTATCGAACTTGTGATATAATCCTTTCTATCAAAGGTTGTAATTTACGAGCTAGGAAACGACAGAGGTCATATACAGAGGATTTTATGGCACTAACAATTGGTCTGAGAAAGACATCAGATTTATTTTTGGTAACGCTTTAGTGATGTATGAACTGCACTCACTGCATAATCAAGAAAATCAGTCAGCTGCTTGCCGCACGTAAACACACGTTATGTTGTATACGGACTTATAGATGTGTTTCTTCCTTCGTGTGATTTTCAATCGCTGAATAATCAATCGTTTGTAATTGTCAGTGATTAATTAATAAATAGGTTAATAAATTTCTCATTTTATCAAGTGAATGCAATCGAAGTGTCAATATGTTGACAATTTATAAAAGAAGAATCTCATTGTGAGAACGTGCGATTTGATATCTACGTACTTAAAAGACATTTAATATTTGAGTGAAGAAAGTGAATTACAGTAAACGATTGTATCGAACACTTTTACAGTGCATCTAAATTTATTCCTCCGACTGTTTCAAGAAATTAGAGCGAAATGGAATTATTGAACATCTACAAGGTAATAACAATTTTATAATTAAGATAATAATAAGCTTTTTTGTGTATTACATCTTTGTTTTAAATATTTACAACTTTTTGCTAAGAAGCGCGATCACGTTTATAACACTTTTCATGTAATAAGTATGTAATAAATGCTACGAGCGCGAATAGCGCAGATAAAATTGTTAAAGAAATTTTTGAAAGAGAAAGGTGAGAAATTGGACAATAATTGTGTGCGACAAATATTATAACGCCTATTGACATACAATTAACTCTCTAACAAGTTTTCGGTCTTACATCGAATTATAAAAAACGCTCTTAGAATTTGTACTGAAATAATTGTTTGATTTGTATGTCAATAGTTTTAATTACGTTCTTATCGCACGTAATTGTCTAATTTCGCTGTTTTATTACATTTCTCTAACAATTCTATCAATGTAATTAAAAAACAATTTGGTACTCAAAGGGTTTATATTCATTTTAATTTCATCATTTTAATTTATAATTTAACGAAATTCGTATATTTAAAGTATGTGAAAGACAAAGAGATAATGTAGTAGAGAGAAAAAGTAGGAAGAAACGTGTTTTTATAAACGTGTGAATGCGTTCGATCGGTATGCACCCCGCATGTAAAGCGCTCTAACTGTGAATGAAATTTTCGCAAAGAAAAAATTGTTTTAGAATTAAGTCAGAAATATGACACTTTAAGGACAAACATTTTTTTTTAAATCACCCTGTATAGTGTTTCGTGTAATATCTTTTCTCATTAAACATGAAACTCTCAAGGAATCTTTAATTTTGGCTGTACTTAGCAAATTTGTGACATTTCATATGTATGGATTCATAAAAGGTCCTGTAAACATTTGAAAGTAACGTTTTATTTGCGTTATTCTATAGAACGTGTCAGAAACGTTGCATTTTTGCGTTAAATGACATTTGGAAGGTCATAAAAAAATGTTTTATGAAATAGGAATAACGTTTTGTGTAAAACATTTTCCTTGCAACTTATAAAAACATTGTTTCAACGTTACATATACAATGTTTTACTCATGAACAGTACGTAGTCTCGTCTTTAAATAGAAGTGATGTTGCATTTTCTTGTAATTAAAATCCGTCCACGAATAGAATAAAAGGCACAACATTATGAAATTTTTATTCCTGTTCTTATGGAACGATTTTTTGAAGGCAACTAAGTTTTCTTATGAATAATGAAGGCTTGCCTTAAAATTTAGAAAATTATTTTACAATTAGAACATCATATTGAAGAAAAACTTTCTTTTATATTTTTCTTAAAAGTAAGTTTTAAGATTAAACAAAAATTTGAAGGATCCAAATTTATGTTACAAAAATGTTAAAATTTGAATTGTAAATTAAACATAAATCAAGCGGATCATTTCTTGTTTCTGCAACGTTATAGAAACATTTCTAAAACTAAAGTTGCATCGTCTCTAACATCACAGGCAAGTTTTACAAGTGTCGCAAATGTAACGTCGCATATGTAAGGTAATTTTAACTGAAGTAGCGTTGTCTAGCTCTCCGAATGTGAACGAAATGTGATCAAAGTCTTCGATAAGCATAACAAGCGTGATAATATATTTTCAAGTAAGAAGACTTTATTTATTTGATAAACATTTAAAAAAAAGTATTATGCTTTCATTTTAGAGCCCTTGGGACTCACTTAAAAACATTATTTCATTAAAGCACAGATGAAAAATCTTTTAATGCTGCGTTTTTTATTCTGTTCTATATCGTTTTTTAAAATCGAGGAATTTAACTCGATCTTCTTTTTGATGGCAGTGCTGTATATTGCTCGACGATGCTCCATTTCGATTGACAGAAATGTAGATTAAATATTTTATGAAAACAATTTCCAACAGATTGTAGTAACATTTATGATAATAAGTTTGCTACAGCATTTCCGCTTTACACAAACTATCATTGTTTGTATAATGCCTCTAGATAGCAGGATGATAATTGAAGAGAAACTTATGATAAGCATCTATTTTTTTTCTCATGCCAAGGAATGTTTTGTTACCTGAATTGCTCTGATGAAAAGAATGGCAAGATTCACGAAATGTTGACATTAGCAATGAATCACTACACGGCAATAACTCACAAATTCTTTAGCATCTATGAAATTTGTAGTATATTATTATTAAATAGATATTTGTTATTGAACCTTTTCTGGTTTGATCTTAAACTCCGGACAATTTTCCTTGAGTCGCCGGAATTCCTCGTAAGAATTGCAAGTTGCTTTACTTAGATCGGGTATCAAATTCGCATCTTTTTTATCATCCTTCAGTAAATCGTCCAATTGGAAAGCCATTATCTAAATCTGCAATGCAAAAAAGAAGCTTGAATTCATTTTATCGTATGTTGAAAGAAACAAACAAATGTTCCTCGATCCCTTTCGCATTTTACTCGATTTATCTCACTTTCTACGCAAATGAAAAGGAAAACAGAATGATGTTTTAATGATAAGAAAATCCTGTAGGCATTTAAAAGATTTCGGATGCAGTGGGTGAGACCAGACATCGCTCGGAATCCCACTCGATCTGCTTCATCAGAAGTCCCTGGAAAAGAAAAATAAATGCATCTTGAGGAATATTGAAACTCTTCCTAACGTCCATCAACAATGCATAATTCAATCTTAAAAAGAATCCAAAGTTTTATTTTGGATTAAAATGTATCGATCCAGTAAAAAATTTTTTATATAAAAACATAATTTATAGACGTATACACATATTTATACATTAAATACGTTTTTCTTTTCTTATAATCTGTTTGTATATTGTTGCGGTCGTGCGATCGATTCGAAGTCGTCTCGCAGACGCTTTCACGCACTCTCAAACCGCAGAAATAAAGTGTAAAAGAAAGAATAAGAAATGTTTATTAATAAGGGGAAAGAAAATACAGAACATAGAACATAATACCATAAATAATAGCACAGCGAACGATAAATAATGGAGAAACACGTCTATGGCAATAACTCATATCCAAATCTGAAGATCTTATTAAAAACTTGAACGGCTAATCGTTTTGGCAACGCGCTTTTTAACACGTGTCAGCAAGATGCCGGCATGATAATATGTATGTTGTGATTGTTCTCACGAACAACAGTACAACTTCGCCGCGTACTCTAATCGATTTTCCAGTAAAGATTTACAATATTCCTGTTATGTACAGCAGACTCCCACGACTCTTTTCTTTCGTGGAGATCTGGAGTTCGTTGAAATATAGAGACAGCTGCGAGTAATGAACAAATTGAGCCGTTACAGCCTAGAAAGGATTAAAAATTTTCTTTTCTTACGTTAAAAACTAAAGCGAAGAATCCAGTATCTCCTCGTAAATGTCGATAAACTAAAAATTTGTGCACGTACGCGAGCGGCAGGACCAAAAGAACATCGAATCTGTGCCCTTCGGACATCGCAGCTAAAATAATAATAAATATGTTATGTGAGAGTGTAAGACCGGCGCCAAGATACTTTTTAACGGTCAAGTCGCGGACGATTTTCACGAGTCTATGATCATAAAATTTAAGAAGTGATACGCGACGTTCAAGGAGAGGATTTGGTGGTCCCGTGCAGACGCTGTACATGCTTTCTTGACTGTACTGTACGTGCGATTTCTCATAAATTCTAAGGATGACACTTTCCCACACTACAGATTCCGGTCAACACTCTTTTCTCCCCCAAAACGTATTCCGAACTTTAACCAGAAAGTGAGGAAAGAGTCTTACCACTACTTATAAAATCTATTCCACCAATCCGAATTCGACTAATCAACTTTTAAAACTTTCTTTTCTAAGAATACCCCTATGAAACGGCGATTTCGTAAGACTCTGCGCATTCCTAGGCACTTCTCGATCATCATTCTTTGATTGTCTCTAGCAAGTTCTCGAGCCCTTGGGCTTTTTCACTTCGGACTCATTCCAATCTAGTTTTTGTAACTTTCGAGTCAGTGTTTATGTACGAAGTCCAGCTCCAACATCTCCGAGCCACATCATCTTCCGAGCCAGACATGAACTCTATCACTGAGAACTACATCCAAAGTGCCACTCATCATTTCTATCACCAGTAAGCCACATATTCTCTCTCTCTCTCTCTCTTTCTCTCTCTCTCTTTCTCTTCCCTCTTTGGGATTAATCATTAAATAATATTTTAGACCTTTTTGATTCTATAGTAATACTCCCTTCTACCTCTCCATCTCTCTATACTATTTATTCACGGAAATCCATGCTTTTCCTAATGTATCCACACACACACACACACACACACACACACACACACACCCGCGCTCGCCGCGTTCAATCAGAAACATCAAATTAATTACAAATGCGATTTCCACCCCATCCCTCCACCTCTATTCCCTCTTAGAAGCGCACGACTTCCACACGAAGCGACTTTCTTAGTCCTGTTGGAGATCAATCAGGGTCATGATTTTAGTGACGAGAAAGGGCGCATCGTCACAATCGTATTCCTATTTTCAAACAATATGTTTTGTGCAAACACTTCAAGAGGCGCATTAAATGTTCTATCTTTCTGCTCTTCTTTTTGTATTCATATGGAGCTTCTATTTTTCAAAGAAGTCGTCACGCGAGTGGATAACTCCATCCTCAGAGAATTTATCCTTACTAAATTCCAGGAATTTCTACACACTATTCCTCGAAAGTCGGTGGTAATTTAGTCGGATGGCCGTAAGATTGACTCAGACCGCTTATGAGGAGCTGGCATTTATTTACCTACACTGCAGTTGAATCTATTACAATGCCTTCCGATGGGTACTTCGGTTTTTACAGCAAAAGCTTAGGCATAGTTAGTAACCGTAAAAACTGTTTGCGAGGAAAAATATCGCAGAGTTGTCATCTTTATCGATTCCAAAAGCGTCTTGGAAGCCATTGTGTCGCACAAGACAAACAACAGTAATTACTTGGGGTACGCCCTTAAGAATCAATTGTATCTAGTCGCCTCTTCAGGCACACAAATAGACCTTGTCTAGATCTCCTTACACAAGGATATCCATGGAAAGGCTGAACTTGCCAAATCCAGAATCAGAAATGAAATTCTAATGAACATTAAGTTATCTTTTACGAATACGCTCTCGAAGCCTAAATCTATCAAATAGTTATAGCATCATCTCAACGGCAAATTCCTGCAAAAAGGTTTATACGAGCAACATTTTCATGAGGTATATATATCTTTTCAGCTCAGCGACGAGACAGCGAGAGGGCAAGGAGTGGGAGACTGGACAAAAAATGGCGAACGAGAATACCTATATATCTGGTGCTTTAGTAATACTAACGTAAAATTACGCCGTCACTCATATTTTAATTCTCGCTACTCGCCACATGGGGCGGCTATCTCGATCCTGGCTGTATCGATTCGTGATAGGAGTCGGAGCATTCTCTATCGAAGAAGATTCTCGATATGCTATCATGCAGAAGATCTCTAGATACGCGATTACGAGGTTTCACTCACGATACACGACCACAGAAAGTCTTTATAGATTCGCGGCCATACAGAAGGTAATTTACGTTAAAGTGTGCTTGAGTTTAAGCATCTAGGCATTGTGAATATCACTCAGGGCAACAGTTTAGATTTGTGAATCCGACTCAGGGCAATAATTCCTAGACGTATGTCGTGATTTTGGACGACAGACATTCTGACATTTTATTTTTATTTAATTATTACACACTTCCGATAATGTGTACGCGGCGAAAGTATTTTACAAAGTATTGACTGTTTGTAAAAAGAATCATGAAAATAAACTGTATACGAAATCATAGATTTTAAAACATTTACACTGACCACATGCCAGTAAAAATCTTATTTTACTGGAATTGATAACTGATTTGAATTACTGACCGCCGATCCGTTCTATCACATAAGAAGAACTATGAGCGATATGTAAACTGCGTAAGACAAGAATTAATGTATTTAGAGATTATTATATATTAATTTATTGTTTATATCGAAATTGTATTCAGTAGTTCAACGTTTTGGTAATTATTGCAAAAAGGTTAAACCTTGCCCATGATCTTGATATTGACATATGTTGTTATGACTCTGAGTAATCTCCAACATTCTATGTAGTTTACTACATCAAAACAGATTATACTTATATATTTTCAAATAACATTTTATTGATGTCATCGATAATCTGCATTATCGATAAATCTTGATTCGTTTATCGATAATTATCAATATTGTCATCATTAAGCACAAACTCTAAAATACTGAGTATACTTAAGTTAAAAAGCGATTATATTTGTTTAACACCAGATTAAATACTTTAATTCATAATTTTGAAAAAAAAATCTGACTCTTTCATACCCACTCTCCCTTATATTAAAAAAGTAATTACTTAAAAAGTCATTATTTTTAATATAACTGTGTGTAATTTTTAAATTATACGAAGTAATATAATAGTTATTACAAAATATTTCACTGTATATATTTAATTTCTACATCGGTAAAAAATTTTTAAAATAAAAACATATATAAAAATACGAGTACGAGTTAAAGTTATTAAGTTACAAGTTTACTAAATTTTTAGAAAAACATAATAAAACACATTTTTTTTATCGATTCATTTTTATTTCTCAACATAGTCTCCTTTTAGCTCGATATACTTAATCCAACGATTCTCCAACTTTTTCAAATCGCCCGAATAATATGATTTGTTCAACCCTTCAAAATAAGCCTCTGTTTCGGCGATGAGCTGCTCTCTGGTGATGAATTTCTTTTCTCCGAACCATTTCTTTAGGTTTGGAAACAGGAAATAATCGCAGGGAACTAAATCTGGCGAATATGCTGGATGGAGAAGCAATTCGTAGCGAAATTCGTTGAATTTGGCCATCGGTACCGGGCACGTGTGAACCCGTGCATTATCTTGATGGAAGAATACTTTCTTCTTCGCGAAATGGGGACGTTTTTTCTTTAAAATGTTGTTGAAACGGTCTAATAAGACTGCGTAATCTCCATTGATCATTTGCTTTGACGGAAGGTAATCGATATGAATTATATCGCGTCCCAAAAAACTGTGGCCATCACCTTTCCGACCGACTTCACGGTCTTCGCCTTCTTCGGAACTAGTTCACTCGGTGAAGTCCATTGTTTTGACTGTTCCTTCGTCGCGAGTGTGAAGTAATGGATTCATATTTCGTCCACAGTAATGAATCGATGCAGAAATTCATCTGATTACGTTGAAACATCTTCAAATATTGTTTTGAAATCGTCACATGATCGCGCTTATGGTCCACAGTGAGCAAACGCGGCACCCATCTTGCCGATAGCTTTTTCGTACCCAATTGTTCGTACAAAATTGAAATCACTGTATCATGTGATATGCCTGTGGCCTTAACAAGCTCGCGCACTTTCACTCGTCAAAATCGTGGATTTTATCAATGATTTTTGGCGTAGCAGCCTCAATTGGACATCCCGAACGAGGTGGATGTCCAATTACATTACATATGGATGTACGATCATGTTTAAATTCATTCACCCAATTGTATACAGTCGCAAATGCTGGTGCAGATGTGCTATGAATGAGATGTGCTATTATCCAACTCGGC